TGGTGGAGCTAACAAAGTTCAAAACTCATATAGCTTTGCAAGTCACCCCACCAGCTCCCTCCCTCCCTCTCACTTGCATGCGCAGTGCAAACAACATTAACTTCAAATTTTGTCCACAACTACCAAACTAACTCAAAAGTCAAAACCACAAACTTATGAAGACTGCATATCACTTAACTGATCAGTTACTAAGATTTCCATAGCTAATGGCGAAAAAGCCATGTCCATATCCCACAGAAGATTTTGAATATTTGGCTTTTACTCATTACCGTGAAGCTATACACTTTACAATTGACGTTCAGCCCAAACTTACATGACCCTACTTCCATTCAAATACAAGCCATACTAACATATTCTTCCAAGTGAGATGAAAAACTTACAGTGACCTCAGCACGAGCAACAAGCTTGTGTGGAACTGAATTGACATCAACGGAACAGAACCGTAATCTACATGAAATTAATTAAGATTTAGATTTATTCTCCACTGCAGAGTTACAATCCAGCAAGAACAATAACATACTATTGAATTATCTAAGCACATAGAATGCATATGTACACAGGTATGTAATTCTTTACATGAATGCATGACAAGTTTCACTTTGCTTTAAAATACTTATCTATATATACAAATGAGAGATTTAATGTGTTTCAATTTGTTCTGCCTTTTTTTACACATTTATTTTTCTATTATAATTTTAATGCCACTTTTGCAGACTGCATATGGAAATCTCACTGTTATATTATCATAAGTTGAGCACCAGGAATGATGCTTCTACAAGGGCAGGGATATCAGAAGGGCAAGCATTTTAGTAGAGTTTGAAGCTTTATTCTAATATCTCCATGAATGGCTCATCAGAATTTTAATAGAGTTTGACAATTGGCAAAATAAAAGAATGCAGATTTAAGTTGATTCAAAACCTTTTCATTAATGCGCGCATGGATGGAACTCAGTAAAATAGAACTTAAATAGAGGGACATATCAATATACTGAAGTTTCAATGTGAAAATGATTTATAATTTATACTACTGTATAGAGCGTGAACTAGTGCCCAACTAACCTTGGATAGTACTCAGCTGCCAGCTTCTCCAATTTTGGTTTCAAATATATACATTTTCTGCACCAGCTTGCCATCCTACAGAGACATTTCAATTGAAGTTTCATTTCAAAGAAGGAAAATCTACCAATTTCTTAATGCCAAATCAGAAAATTTCTGAACTATAAAGAATCTTTTAACAATGGAAGAAGTGAAGTGCTGCTTGCAAGACTTAATCACAACCCAACCACAAGTTCCCAATAAAGTTTTAAGCATGGAAACGCAAGTCAAAGCCTCCACCTTTTTCTCTCCCTACATTTCTCAGCAACCAAACAAACCCAAATGAAAAGAACCCACCAAACAAAAACCCAAAAACCTCACCAAATCAAAATCCCATCACAAACCAGAAACGTACCAAACGACAACGACCGATTCCTCCAGCTGCTGCGCTTGGGCAATGACCCGGTCGAACTGGGTCTCGCCTGAAATCGGTACGAGCTCCACCGAGATCGGCTTATCATCGAGCTCTTGCAACGACCCTTCTTGGCTCAGAGCATTTACGGCCCTAATTGGACGTCGAATTTCATCAAATTTACGGGAAAAGACCAAAGGATTTGAAGAAGGCGGGTAGCGAGTTGGCCCTCTGAGCCTGAAGCTCAAGATTGAAATTTTCAATTTGGGTGAAGTTGGAGGGTCACGTGACGGGTCACTTGAGGCCCTGGTTCCCAGGTGCCTGAGAGCAGGGTGGGTAGGTACCACGGACATGTCGAACAGAGAAAGAGAGAGCAACTGTCGACTTGGGACAATTTAGGACCGTTGACGGAGGATTTGAGGTGACGGCGGAAGGGAGTGTTTGACCGCACGGCAAATAGAGGCGCCTGACGGCGTTAGTGGCTGGAGGGTAGCGGGACCCACATGGCCTGACCAAACCAACGGAATAAAAGTCACCCGGACTGTTCGATCCAGCAGGTACGGTCAGATTTGCTGAAGTGACGTTGGACTGAAGTTCGTTAAGAACCAATGTAACAGCCGCCATTTTTTTTTGGTTCTCTTTTTGCTTTTTTGTTTTTGTTCTCTTTTTGCTTTTTTGTTTTTGGTGTCTGATGGAGGCCCAAACACACACAATCAGCCCAGTTAAAGATAGCCCCTTGTTTTTTTTTTGCCCAAGGCCCAAATGATTGGTTTTTATTATTATTAATATTTTCAATTTTAGTTTTTTTATAAATCGTATAGCCGACTGGCTGTACTGTTTTTCACATTGAAACGCTAGGAGGTTTTTTTGTGTTCTATAAATAGTATAGCCGGGCGGCTATACTCGCGATTTGTTTTTTTTCAAAATGAGTATAGCCGGTCGGCTGTACTGTTTTAGACATGTGGCGCCGAATCTCTAAGCGGGCGCTAGAGCCCAGTTAAAGATAGCCCTTTTTTTTTGGTTTGCCCAAGGCCCAAATGATTGGTTTTTATTATTATTAATATTTTCAATTTTAGTTTTTTTATAAATCGTATAGCCGCCTGGCTGTACTGTTTTTGACATTGAAACGCTAGGAGGTTTTTTTGTGTTCTATAAATAGTCTAGCCGGGCGGCTATACTCGCGATTTTTTTTTCAAAATGAGTATAGCCGGTCGGCTGTACTGTTTTGGACATGTGGCGCCGAATCTCTAAGCGGGCGCTAGGCGTGTCCTTTTTTTAAGTTTTTGTTTTACAAATAGTATTGCCGCTCGGTTTTACTAGGGTCGCTTTTTTTTAGTTTTTGTATAAATAGTATAGTCGTGCGGCGATACTTTGTTTGATCATGGCGCCAAATAATAGCTAGATGGTTTTTTTTTTGTTTTATAAATGGTATAGCCGCATGGCGATACTCGGGATTTTAAAAAATGAGTATAGCCGTGCATTTTATAAATAGTATAGCCGTGCGTCTATACGTTTTTTGACACGTGGCGCCATATCTCTAGGCAGGTCTTTTTTATATATAAATAGTATAGCCGCGCAACTTGCTTTTTTAAAAATTTTATATACAAGAAATATTGAGGAGGGAAATTTGAACTTAAGACTCCAGGTGCATAAGTAACTGCTTCTAACTACAATTCTCTTGCCGAAATGATAAGTTAATATGATTTTTGGTACTCTGTGCTTGTGACAAAATCTAAGCCATTGATGAATGTAGGTTCCATACAAAACAAACATACATCAACGGCTGACACAATCAGCCCATATTTCATCACCCGCCCACACGCAACCAACGCTAACCCTCCTCTATTTAGAAATACCAACAATGAATACTACTACCTTTTCTTTTATCAAAAGTGTCAGTAAAAAAAAATATATATATATATTTAGCCTTCTTGGATGAGCAACAATTGCATATGTTATGTTTAAAAAGTTTATAACCAAAATGCAGTTCTTTGCCTGGCTTGTGACTAAAGGTAAAATTCTTTCCAAAGAGCAAGCAAAAAGAATGCTAACGGATGATCCTTCCTGAAGTATATGTGGCCGGCGAGAAGAATAACTTACTCTTTCTATAATGTAAATTGGTGAGAATATTTTGTTTTTCCTTTTATTTGTTTGTTTATTTATTTATTAATTACTTACCCTTTGTATAATGCTATTGTAATTGGAATTTCTAACCCTTTTAGGTTTACCACTTTGTACATCTTTTTTTTTTTTTGTTCTGTGTAATTACTTACTCTTTGTATAATCCTGTTGTAATTCGGATTTGTAACCCTCTTATGTTTACCACTTTATACATCTTTATAAAATACCTATCAATGTATCAGAGAATTATCTCATATACTTTGTTCTACTCTTTTCTTCTTTAGTCGTCTTCAGCACAACGAACACGAAGCTTCGCCAGCTCCATTACTATGGATACCATACAAGATATCACACAAGGGATGCACGAATTGAATTTTGAAGCAACAGCGGCACACCCTTTTCCCGAGGAAATCATACAAGAGATCCTCATTAGGCTACCCGTTAAATCTCTGATCAAATGCACCTCAGTGTGCAAGACATGGAGGTCCATGATCATAAACCAGACCCTTATTCGCGCCCATCTCAGTCCACAGAATGACATTGACAGTCACCTCCTCCTAGTCCACAGATATTCTGTTTCTTCTACGGAGGAGACCATCTTCTTCAGAAACATGGCCTTGTCCAAGGTAGAGTATGTTGTGAAAATATTGACAAAACACTTTCACTCACTCCCCTAATGATCTTGTTGTTGATGGACTTTGTGACACACACAATGATGGATGAATCACACAAGTACGAGGTAATAGAGGTTGTTACTGTGCATTATGATAACCAGGCTTTTGACGAGTACAGCTCCAAGATAGAATTTCCAGTTGCTGTCCAGGAAAAAACGTGCGACTCATGTAATCGTGTGGCCGGCATTTGTGACGGGCTAGTCTGCCTAGTGGATGATGCGGATGATATTTTCGGTTACAATTACAACTTGTTCATATGGAACCCATCCATTAGAAAGTTCGTGACCCTTCCCGAGCCTGGTGTTAAATTAAATACGCATGGCGAGTACAGGGCTTCGATTGGATTTGGTTTTGATGCGACGACCAATGACTATAAGGTTGTACGAGTTGTCACTTTATCGTTCATACGTGGGTTACAAACTCTAGCCGAGGTTTATTCCCTAGCCACGGGCACATGGAGCAGTCTTGGTGTTGTTTCTTGTTAATAGTCGTTAATATATATTCGGAATAAGGTACTACATACCTTGCGGAAGATTCCAAGTGAAAAAAAACCGCTTGCAATTCTCCTAGAACATGTCTAATGCTTGAAAAAGCTGCAAACAATGTTTTTGTTAATGCGGTTCTTCATTGGTCTGTAATCTGCTATAAGACAAATGATTATCATCATCCTTATGATTCTATATTGGCATTTGACCTGGGCAAGGAGGTGTTCCATGAGATATTTATGCCCGAGGGTATCGAATGGAATTGCGGGGTGTCATCGCGTTTGTCTATTTCAGGTGACAGAAAATCTATTGCTTTGTTCAAGGTGGATAACAGGAATGGAGATTGTATTCTTGATATATGGGTGATGAAAGAGTATGGCAGAACGGAGTCATGGACGAAATTGATGACTCTCGGTCGACAAGGTCCAGAAAGACTTTTACCCAGGGATCCCTTATGTTTTAGGAAGAGTGGGGAACTTGTGTTGCTTCTCACTCACACTGACGACAAATCAAGGAATGAACTAGTATCACTAAACCTTGCGAGCAAACAGGTTAAAAATTTGGGGATTGATGGATATCGATGCTGCGACGTTGGTTTTTATAAAGAGAGCCTCCTCTTACTTGACAAGACCGATGCAGAGTCTTACTAATAGAAATATGGAAGCGTCTTTCTTTACAACTTCTTCATATGAAACCCAGCCATTAGAAAGTTAGTGACCCTTCCCAAGCCTAGTGTTAGATTGAAAACGCACCGCGAATACGATGCTTCGATTGGATTCGGTTTTGATGCTAGGACCAATGACTATAAGGTTGTGCGAGTTGTCTCATTACCGGAAGAACCTGGGACACCAACTCTAGCTGAGGTTTATTCCCTAGCCACCGGCACATGGAGCAGTCTTGGTCGTGTTTCTCCTTCATGTCTAGTGACTGCAAGAGCTACATCCAATGTTTTCCTTAATGGGGTTCTTCATTGGCCAGTAGACTGTAGGACAAATAGTGGTGATCTTTGCTCTTTTATATTGGCATTTGACCTGGGCAAGGAGGTGTTCAGTAAGATATTTATGCCCAAGGTTATCCAACGGAATTTCGGGTTCGGATTGCGTTTGTCTATTTCAGGGGACAGAAAATCTATTGCTTTGTTCGCTGTGTGAACCCGGCGCAGGTGTGATGAAGATTGTTTTCTTGACATATGGGTGATGAAAGAGTATGGCAGAAAGGAGTCATGGACCAGATTGATCACTCTCGGTCCACAAGGTCCAGAAAGATTTTTACCCACGGGGCCCATATGTTTTAGGAAGAGTGGGGAAGTTCTGTTGCTCGTCACTAGTGGCACTGACAAATCAAGGAAGGAACTAGCATCACTGGACCTTGTGAGCAAACAGTTGAAAAAACTTGGGATTTCTGGATATCAATCTAGCGATGGTGATTTTTATAAAGAGAGCCTCCTCTTACTTGACAAGACCGATGCAGAGTCTTACTAATAGAAATATGGAAGCATCTAGTTAGTAATTGTCTTTTTTATATAATAAAAAATGTGATATTACTGCAAATAATAATGGAAACAAGACAGGATTTATTGCAGGATACAACAAATTCAAAGATGGCTCAAAATTGGAAATGAACACCAAGAGATTATATATACTCTCTAAGGATCCACAATACATTAATAATCATGTTCTCTCTCACTGTTCCAAGAAAATGTCCCAAAAACTTCAGTGAATCAAGCTCTGAATAATGTTCGAAACCGCCGAATACGTTCCAAAGGAAGACGATACAACACCTACTATAATGATTATAATACAAAGCGTTGCCTGGCAATCACAGAAAAAACAAACAGCAGATTAAAATGTTAACGAGTTGGTTTGGAATTCACATTCTTTGATCAACATTGAAATTATATGAAAGCATTTTTCTATGTAACAATGTGATTGTGTTTCTTGTTCGCCTATTTTTCTAAACCAATGTTAACAAGCGTATGAAACAGACATACCTGAAGCCGAGTTACTCGCCCTCTCAGGATACTCAGATAACAAGCACAAGGAAGTATCAAGGTCTGCAAATATTATATTTTGTTAATATAGAAGTATAACTTAACTCATAGAATGATATTTGAAATTTGAAAATATATTTCTTGTAATCAAATACAAAGGAAAACTTACTACAAGCATTGTGAATAAAGATCCGATGAACGACATCACCAGACCTGCGATAAGTTAAAATTGAAGTTGTAACAGTATGGTAATGGTGAATGTAGCATGCCAAGTGAGGTGCTGCTGTTCCTGTCTATCTAATGTATGTTCTCTTTTTCTCTGTGGCACATGTGGTTACCAAGAGACAAAAGGTATAGGAATTCCATGGCAACAAAACGGAAATGATAAATAAAGAAAGTTCAAGGGAGACTTACCAAAGAAGGGGATGCAGAGACCGACTACCAGGGTAGAGACAACCAGTGCCGTTCTAATTAAGATTGAGTATATATGGGACTTGTTTGATGGAACCAGCTCCTCCAGACTCATTGCGACGGGAGATATAGTTAATGCATATGTGGTTCTAATTAAGGAGAAACATATCTAGTCATTTCCGATTTTTATCTTTTGCGTGTGTGTGTGCATTGACGTTGAGCAACATAGGCACAAAAGAAACAAAAATGATTCTTCAAGTTCATTATGCTTTAGAGAGTTGAGTTACTGTTTCTTTCTGATGTTTGTCCAAGGCACAAAATACCTTCTAGACTGCATGAATTGTGCATGGGTGTGTGTGTTTGTGTGATGCGTGTGTGCTGGTATATCAGATGGCATTCATTATCTGCATAATTTGCAAGAAAGGATATTTGGTAAATGGGTTGACTACCTGCAAAAGAACAAATACCCGATAATAGTATTAGCCACCAGTTTTAATTCTAAGTATAGAAGGAAAGGTTCACAACATGGAGAAAGAACATAAAGTTAATGTTTGAGGTGCCTAAGGTAAAACAATAGGCATAAAATGGACCTGCTGAAGAGAACTATAGGCAGCCTAAGGCCATCCCTAGATTTTTTGTTCCTTCTATAATCTATTGATTTAAGCCTAAATCAAATGGTGCTAAAAAGTTGGATAAACCATCCCTACAGGATACATCAATGAACTAGCCAACTAGCCAAATGGTAAAATCTCTCGACAGCCTAAAACCTGAAATCAAATCCCAGTTTTCTTTACCTCCAATGGACAAGGGAAACAACAAATCTATATCTATCAACAACTGCCTGGACCAGCTTGATAATTGCATGGTTTTCCGAAGGCGGAGGGGATAAAGAGTTGATTTTCTGGTTGATAGTTGTGCAAAACACATCAGGAAAATAGCATGATTCCCCGCTTGATAATTGTGCAAATAATAAAGTCAAAAACATCAACAGAACATCCATAATAAAAAAAATTCATGAGCATACCGTAGTCCACAGAGCAATCTTGGAGGCAACCAAATCGTGAGGCATGTTGAGAGTGAACTGTGACGCTGTTGATTCCCCAAACATTGTGTACCCCATGACAGCAACTCCACCGTACAAAATAGTGCAAATCACAAAGCTACACGGAAAAAACAATTAAGTAAATAAATGAAGTATAACAAGTTGCATTCGCTCACAAATAATTGCAGTTCCTGTATGACGTAAAGGGAATTTTGAAATTTCACACAAAAAGGTAGACAGCAGTACGAGTGTGAAAAAACTAAGGCTAGATTCTGATGAAATAAATTATTAAATTAAATAGAAATATAGTTGAGCATCTTTAGTTTACCATGTTAAGAGGATTGCAGGGTATTGGTTTGGTTTTGCCAGTGAAGTATAAATGTTTGGGAAAACAGCATGTCCTGAGTAGCAGTAGCCATAGAGACCCATTGCAACAGGAAGAGTTGAAAGGTTCAGTGGTGTTCCTTTGTTCTCAAAGCCAACTCCATCAACTAGACCAACCCAAAACAAGCAAAGGACCACCACGATCGATGCAATAACTCCACCAGCTGGAAGTAAAACAAGTAAAATGTAAAAATTTGTCAAGAGAACAGCATGCATTTGGTTAACAGTCTTACTGCAGTCCAAGAGATTACAGAAGGTTCAAGAGAGGAAAAAGACTGGTAAAGCAAATTCACTATCTAAATGTGATTGTCAGCCACCAAAGCTTCAACTATTTTTGGCCCCAAATAGAACTTCAATTTCGAATAACAGACTCTTTTTCTTGGTTCATAGACAACAAACTTGAACCTTCGACGCCGCCGGTCTGGCCAACTAGTCTAGATATTCCTATTCATAATCAAAATATTGCTTGACAAAGCAAATTCATTTCACAGAATGTTTAGATGTATAGAACGCATAGATTATATTCAAATTGCCAAACTCACCTGAGATGTAGCTAAGAACACTGAGGTCTCGAAGCCATACGGTAGGAAGAACAGCAAGGGAGGTCAAAATCGCAAATAAAATGTGAGAATCTAGCATGTATCCGCCCAAACTTAGGTGCGCATTTGGAAATAGTGAAGACAAGTTATCACTCTCCAAAATTATATATTCTATGCAGCAAGCCTGCAAATAGAGGAAAACTTAAAATAGGTGATTTATGTGCTTTAAAATTATTAAGCAAAAATACTCAAAATGTCAAGTAAGGTTAAAGATCAACATGATCTAAGCTATAAGTTTTTCTAACTATAAAACGAAACGCTGTTGCAGGTGTATGGCAATTGCAGCAAAAATTATGGGATGTTCTTCCTGTCAGGTCTCCTAATTTGAGATCATGCAATTCCATGCTGCATAAGTCTTCTGGCAAAGGCTGTGATATTAATGGCTCTAACAGAGGTGCATGATCAATCCTTACAAGTGCAAGCATTTAAATGATGAGTATTACTGATGCATTGCCTCAGAGCAGCATGACAATGTTGATGATGGATATATGATACAAAACAACCCCTTCATTTGGATAAGTGCGTCATTGGCTAAACAACCATTTAAGCTTGGTTCTACTAACAAAAGAAAATCCATAATTTTGTCCAGCAATAGCCAGTTTGGTCATTATCTGCATACCAATTTCTAATTGGCAAAGTCTAAAGTTCCCTAAAAAGCGAAGAACCTCCTTCGGATATGGATTTCAAGGCAACCTTGAGTGCAATTTAAATTAGATGCTGCACTCAAGAGATCAGAAAAATACATCAGTGTGTCTCATGTGATGTCCTAACAGTCATTCATGCTGAAAATGATTAGTGTTGGCATGATTTAAGGAACTCCAATCATCTCATGCATTGAAAAATGCTCATCATCCTAAAGAGAAGCAGAAAAAAGTTTAAAGAAAATACCAAAAGAACCCATCAAGCTTTTTCTTTTCAGGAACATTGGAAGAAAAATAATTTTCAAGGAAACTGGGATTTTTAGATCAAATGAGAACTGAACAATCAGCCAACCAGGTACAGCTTGTTGTATTCAAATGGGAAATTGTGGTAAATGAGCACCAAGACAAGAACCACATGGTCACTTCAAGAACAAGTGACCAATAAGATCCAAAAATGAGGACCCATGTTATAGGCTCAACTCAATCAATCAGATCCAGATGTGGGACCCAAGAATATAAGGGTGGGCCCACTGGAGCCCGACTTCCTTTGTTTTTTTTTCATCCCACCCATCCATGTGTTCCATTTCAAACCATAGATATAGGTGAAGCACAAATAAAGTAAAATACTCACTCAGTGAAGCCAGCTGGTACTTACATATAATTCCACGTACAGTATTATCTGCACCCACAAAAAAACAAATCACTACAACGACAGAAAAATAGACGTTTTAACTTTATTTGTTGTTAAAACGACAGAAATAGCAACGTTGATGAAATTTTATACAACCACATCTCAAACATGACAAATGAAGATGGGATTCATTTATACATGTGAATCTCGTCTCTATTAAAGATGTGATTCATAATGTGGTACATCTAAATGTGGTACGAATAGTATGACTCTGTATACAAACTACCTAAGGAGAATTTTAAGTAATATATAAATGTGGTAAGCTTACCGAGATGGCGATCCGTCCTCCCGTACCAAATGCTAAAAAGCAGCCATTCAACTGAACTCTCTAATAGACGTTTTAACTTTATTTGTTGTTAAAACGGCAGAAATAGCAACACTGATGAAATTTTATACAACCACATCTCAAACATGACAAAAGAAGATGGGATTCATTTATACATATGAATCTCATCTCTATTAAAGATTAAAGATGTGGTACATGGTACGAATAGTATGACTCTGTATACAAACTACCTAAGGAGAATTTTAAGTAATATATAAATGTGGTAAGCTTACCGAGATGGCGATTCGTCCTCCCGTACCAAATGCAGCTTGGCCAATGTCCGGGTAAGTTTCAAGGCCAGGCTGACTATCCAAGCAGCGACGCAGGAGCAATCCAGTGTAGAAGGAAAGCACTGCAAATATAAGCAAAATCGAGAGCCCAACCCATCCTCCTTCTTTGATTGCATATGGTGTGGAAAGGATTCCAACCCCACAAAGAACATTGATTCCTGAATCACAGGAAATGGTGAGTGGACACTGATCAAGCTCGGAATTATGTTAGAAACAATATAATATGTTCATAGTCAAAGTTAAAAAAAAGGATCCAAATTGTAAATCTGCATTGAAAGCTACACAAGCCAAGCCAAACAAGTTAATTGGTACCAATACAGTTTTAGTACTTATTTAGTAGATCTTTTCATGTGCAGCATGTGCAATCGGGGGTAAGCCACCTCATCAACTCATGTGAAATAAACAGAGTCTTGCTTGTTTGAAAGCTCATAAATGAAGATAACAATAGGGTAAGGACAAAGCAATGTGGTGATCTACAGACAAATTCTATAATATTCAAAGATATGAAGAAATAACTAAAACATGGTCAGATTTTGAAATACTAAATTAAGATGCATCTGCAAACATGTCATGTATATGCATGTTAGCATCAGAACAAGCTCAAAATTGCAGTGTAGAAAGAGAATTTTGGTGGGTAAGTGGAGAATGTTTTGAACAGACAGCTTCTACTTTATCTTGAGACATGTGAAGGGCAACAAACTGATTTTAATTGAAAGGATAGAACCATCATATTGGACTATGTGGTCCCTGCAACTTTTTTGCTGACACATGATGAAGCTCTAACTGTCTGTAGTTGCAGGATTTGGGTTTCCTTTGCTTGGAATAATTTCATTGGATTTGCATTTAGAACACATAAAAAGTATCATCTCATTATGTATTGGACATCCTAGGGCACAGTAACTATTTATCATAATATGTATGAAATTACTAGGCAGATCAGAATCCAAATGTAGTTAACTCAGCTAATCATGACTACGGGTGTTCATGTCATAGACATAAGCACTCTTCGGAGTGCTTAACACCAGAAATTACTTGAATTTGATGCATTGTTAAAGAGATTTAATTGATGACTGAGAAATAATTCTAGACTTAAACAGTGCTACAGAGCACAATTCTTTCTGGCATAATCTGCAGATGAGGGTGAACGGATATGCATGAACAAATATGTGTGTACAAAACATAAATGACAGGAATAAATTAAATAGCATGTGCTTTGCCCATACTTACCATTAATCACAGCTTGTGTGAATGAGCTGTGGCGAGAAATAGGATGATGTTCATGAGAAACCCTGGATGGTTTATCATCTTTTCTAATAGAAGACCTCCTTGAATGAATAGGAGGAAGAAGAGAATGAGAACTACGTCTCTGTTGCTGTTGTTGCTGCTCATCCGCAACTATCGGTACCGAGGGTTTCGTCAAGAAAGGTAATGTTTCGGGAGTGTGCCTTCTTGTCAGTGATGAGGAAAGAAATGAACTTCCTAATCTTGACAATGAAGGAGTGCCCAGAAACCCAATACTAGGGGATGGTACACTACTATACAGATCAATGGATTGCCTGAAACAGTAAATTACAAACAGTAAGTACTAATTTGGAACTAAAATTGAAAAAAAATACATCACCAGAATAACAGAACAAATCAGTCAGTTTTTTTATCAGTTATTTCATTCATTTGACTGATCAAGTGTAAACTTCTCTAGAGACATTTGATGGAGCCGAAAAAGACAAGTAAAAAGATTAAAGAGCAAGTCATTGTAGCAGAAGTACAAGCCTAAAGCCACCCTATACTTCTGTGGAGACCTTTGATAGAGCCATTAGCCATATCAATCACTCCCTTTTTCCAGCAAGTTAAAAAGAAGGATTCAAAGAGCAACAAAGCAAAACTACTTTTTCATCCTACGTTACCGCCTAATGATCCCAAATTAAAGTTTTATTCTTTTGGCCTAAACAATCCAAAATGTTAAAAGCAGCCAAATATTGACGTTGACCCAACTGAAATTTTGGCCGACTTTACTTCAATATTGGAACTGATTTCTTTTACTTTGTATAGAATTTCTAGGAGATTATTTTAGTTGACTGTAAATCACCACTGCAATAGTAACACGTTTTGAGTTCTATTCTCAGTAAGTAAGATTTTATCACCAAATCCAACAAATTTTACCATTCATTTTCTCCAGCAGAAACCATGTTGTCACTACTCTCCCACAAAATTTTACATATCAAAGTAGTAAATTTTCCTTTACTACATATTTCTGCGGTAAAACTGCTAACTGGACAAGAAAGAATCATGGAAAATTATACAACCAGCTGAGAATTTCATGCAGCCTAACAGAGAAAGACAGAGGAAAAGAAGAGACCGGGGAAGAGAGGAGGAGAAGGGGGGAGAGACACAGAGAGAGAGAGAGAGAGAACCTGTAACTTTGAGGCCATTGGGTGTTGTAAGAACTGGGAATATTCTGCTGCTGATTTTCAGTAAAAGATTCAGAAGAATCAGAGTCGTTTCCTCCATCTTCTATGCTTTTGCTGAATTCCTTTTCCTCATCTTCTTCATCTTCACTCTCAATGTAAAAACTGCGATCCGAGACTGAGTTATTCATCTTCTTCTTCAAATCTTCCTCCGCTAATTACCTTCTGCAGAAACTCCCAAAACACCAAGAAACCAATGAAAATCTTGATCAGGCTAAAGGGTTTGCAAATTGCAATTGGCCCACTTGGGAAAACAGTGAAAAAATATGAATCGGATGAGAACAAAGTTAGGCTTGGGACACATTTTTCTTTTTTGTTTGATACTAAGAAGGTAGAGATAATAATAGTTTCTTTGTTTGGAATTAACAGAACGTCTGAATGTAGCCAAAAAATAAAAAAAAAATTATATTGCCAGCTAAATAAGCTTATATGACATGACAGTAACAGCCAGCAAAAATGTAAATCATAACAAAGAAGGGTTTCTTTGTTTGGAATTAACAGAACGTCTGAATGTAGCCAAAAAATAAAAAAAATTATATTGCCAGCTAAATAAGCTTATATGACATGACAGTAACAGCCAGCAAAAATGTAAATCATAACAAAGAAGAGCAAAAAAAATAAAACATGAAAATTGCATACCATAGAGAGAAAACTAAAAATCGTTTAGTAAAAGAATACACTCAGATTGGTAGAGACATAATGGTACACGGATTTAGCAGAAATTCTAGCTGGCTGAAGTTTGAAGTTTTCAAAAGGACCCTCCCTGCATGTTACATGCTACACTCTGTTTGGTTTCCGAGAAAATAAAGGAAAAGACAAAGCTGACTTAAGGTCTGAAACCACTGAGTCATGCATTATCCTAAGCAAAACAATAAACCCAATTCAGCTAAGCCCGGATTCTGTAATAAAAATTTAAGAAAAACAAAGAACTAGCAAAGCGGATATCAGGATATGTGATCGGAGATTTTCTTTTGTTTTTCCTCGGTTTTCTCGGAAACCAAACAAGGGATGCGACATAGTATGTATAAAGTCTTCTGGTACAATTCAGAGGAGATCTCTAAAGGCGAGAAGTGTCATGCTATTACAGGAGCTTCAGAGCAACAAAAAAAAAACTAAAGAAGTAAGGAAAAGTAAACCTTTTTTGTTCTTTGGATTTTCCTTGCTTCTGTTTCCCGCGAATCGAAAAGGAGATTGATTTTTTCTGGGATTCAAGAATCTGTTGAAACCCGAGAGTGGTAGGCAGAAAATTTGAAAAAGACTCCGGCTTTTTCTTTTTCAGAAAAGCACCAGAAACAACGAGAAACAGAGGCAGAGGAAAACAGAGTGAGAGAAGATATTGCTGTACGTTTACCGTCTGCACAACTAATATATATATGGAGAGAGAGAGAGAGAGAGAGAGAGAGAGATGTCTGTCTCTCTCAGTCAGTATGGTATGGTTGTGGTTCTGTGAACGTGAACTTGCAAGTGTTTTGCTCTTTTTTCTTTTTTCTTTTTTTTATACATTTATTTTGGTTTGTAGAACTCCCTGGTTCGTGTCAGCTCCTATAATTGATTGCCTTTTGGAATTCAAGTGGGTCTGGGTTTCTTTCTTCTTAAAAAAATTTTGCGTGATTTTAGCTAATTATTTGAGTGGTTTTTAGCTAATTATTTGAGGGATTCCAGGTAATTATAAGTCGGTTAATAAGTGACCAAAGGGAAGCTGGTAATCTACTCCTGCGCTGGTGTTGTTGGAGTGCATTTGGGATTGCTTGGCACTGTAAAAGCGTTTTCAAATGACAGAATATATTTTCCTTTTAAGATTTAAAATAAATAAGTGAAAGTGTACATTTGAGTTATAATTGCACTTTTTCTAAGAAGGCTGTTTTTTTTTTGGGGGACCAGGAAAAACATTTAGGGCTTGTTTGGTATGCCTCCCTAACTTGGACTGGCTTGGATAAAAAATTATCCCATATTTGTTGTCATATGGTTCTAGTTTTAAATGGGATTAATAATCTGGGGCCCACCAAAAACACCTCCTTAACTGGGCTTAGTGAGACCCGTGTGTGAAGTGGGGACAAACTAATCCCCTCCTCATCGCTCGCGACTTCCTCCCTTCTCCACGCCTTCATGCTTCATCTCTTCCATCAGTTCTCACCCCACCACACACCTTGTCACAGCCATCACCTCCCACCTAAGCACACACCTCGTCACAGCCATGGCCTCCAACCCTCATCCATGTCAGCTGCGCGCTCTCTCTCTCTCTCTCTCTCTCTCTCTCTGCTACAAAACCCAAATGGAGGAAATAAATTAATTAATTCAAATCGCTTTTTCTTTTTATGAAATTAGGAGAAGAACCTCACAAAACAATAGCTAACCATCAAGCAATTCATCATCAAAGAACCCACCCAGGCAGAAGCCTCCTCAAAGAAGCAAATTCCCAAATTTAGATTGTGGGGTTTGGGCATGTGGCTATTGAAGAGAGAGGAGGGTGAAGAGAGAAATAGTGAAATAGGAAATTGAGAGAGTATAAAATTTTGAATTAAGAAGCAGAGAGATAGATATTGAGAAGAAGAGCAGAAGGAGAGAGGAGGGAGAAGAAGAAGTTGAAGAAGTCGCAGGTTGGAAGAAGATAAAACAACAGAGAAAGAAAGAAGAGAAGTTAAAAAAACAAAACAAATAAATCCACTTGCCTTTTTTTTTTAA